CAACTTTTGACTTTCTTGGTCAACTAATTGTCAAATTGATGTTTTCGATCCATTGGAACTCCAGTTGCATATTTATGAAAGGTTATTGACATTCGTTGACAAAAAATGAAGATTATGGTAAAATCTATAAAAATTGAAGAGGTTAGAGACCACTGCTACAATTTTGCCTATTTTATATGTAAAGTCAAATTTTTTTCGTATTTTTTAACCGTACATTCTTCAAATATTCACTATTCAAGACAATATTTTTTTCAAAACAATAGCTACAAAACAAGGGATAAGCTAGTGGTATACAACTAGTTTGACATCATTTGATGTGTCAAAATTTAAACTATTGATTTGAATAAGTGGTATTAAAATCAATGATAAAATTGTATGTCTTTTCAAAAAGTGTAAATAAAACTGTCAATCGTACTTTAAGTGTAGTAAAACTGTTATGGAAAAGGGTATAGTTAGTGAAGATTATTGTGTGGGTAGCGTTGGACGGTGCAGATTAATTATTTATTTGGTACTCGTTTGCCCTTTTTAAAAATTTTGAGATTATAGTTGAAATTCGTTCTTTATTTTTTCTTCTTTCCCTTTTTTTAAAAAATTTGATAGAAATGTATATTTGTTATTTCACAAGAATTTATTGAGAAAATAGGGTGTTCCGCACTTCAAAGTTCGTATAGCCGAGTTCGTCGTCAATCTGAAAAGTTAGGGTCTTAGGGATATTTGACCATATGTCCATGTATTGGAAGAGCATTGCGTTAGTAAGCCATTTTATATCAATATACTATGTGGTATCCACGTGGTGGAAGAGGGCTCTGCATTGGCTCTTGGCAAACTCTTTGAGTCAATCATATTGGATTGGATCCGGCTTGATGGTCCATCTTTATCTACACTCCTCATTTCGTACTACAGGTGTGTTTGAGCCACATTATTTTAAAAGAACATATTTTGGAATAATAAATTGATGGAGAATGTGTGGTTGAAAAAGAAGGAAAAATTATTGATGCGATAGAAAATTTTATTTTATTGAACAATGTGTGATTGAAAATGAGTAGAAGAATGAGAATAAAAATTTTAATGTGTACCAAATAGGGGCAAATTTTCTATGGTAGATAGACAAGGACTGTCCAACCAACATGTTCCCTTAATAATGCTAAAATAAGACTAATTAATTTTAC